TCTCGCAGAGGAAGTGACTGAAGCCCAGTGTGTACATTCAAATCATGAAATGACAAAAAAAAATGGAGGCCTGTCGAGATGGTAGGACACGATACATCTATCCTCTCTCAGCCGTAAAACTGACAGAAAAAAGACACAAAACAGAACAACCACTCACTATAAATAATGTCGCTGCAACACATCGCACTATTTCTTCAAGTGGTTTATACCGGCATTTCCCATCGTAGATCATTTCAGCCATTGTTAGCACCTGCAGGGCCTTCTCTGTGTGTCACTGTTAGAGGGACATTTTCCAGATGAGGCTCACTGTTTACTTAACCTGATGTTACCTTACTTAGCCAGTCACATGGATGTGCTTTCTAATCTGGAGAAATCCTAGAATCAGTCAGTGTCACAGCTCGCCTTTTTAACATTTTTTGTGTCTTTATAGGGAGGGCTGTGACTTACGCACCAAGTCTGCTCTCTGCTGGGCTTAAAACAGTTCTTTCACATATAGTTTGTTTGACTGTCACATGTGTGTCTAACATCAATTTTACCCTAATTTTGAACAAATATAAGCAATTTTAGCTGCTCTGCTTGAGTGCTGCATTTGAGTAATATGTCATTGATGGGGAAATATGCACATTCTCCTTCTTATCTTCCTCTCCTCTCCAGCACCCCTCTACTGGACTGATCTCTACATCCCCACTTTCCCCTTATCTGTGTGAAGTCATGCGGACTGAATAACTGAGATTTTAGGTAGCTGGGCCTGCTGGACGACCTCTCTGACTTTCTGCTCCTCGCTGTCTTCATCTCAGCTGCTGAGTTGACTTTCTAACACGACTAAAATCCCTCGCTTCTAACCCACAGAGATGCTTCTCATCTGCCCCCTCTCTCGTCAAAAAAACCAAAACCTTTGTTTGTGGCAGCAGGGCCACCAGCTGCAAGTACTGACCCCGTCTGCTCCTTCAGAGCATCACCGCTGCTCCGCTCCTCTGCTGCTCCATTTCCTGACTGCCAGAATCAGCTTCTCCAAGACACAAGGCTGTGTGTCATCTGCACTCAAATCAGCAAGAGGTGCTGCACTTCTCCAAGATGAAGCCAGTGTTTGACCCGTTTGTCAAACGCTGTCTTCATTTTTTCATGCTTAAACAATACTGACTCTTCTGACTCTAACCCAAACTATCCTGGTTTCAAGGCAGAGGCCATGATGCTTCATGTCACTGAATCACTCCACACGCAACCGTCTACTCACTCTTTGTATATCGTCTTCACACACATGGTCATTGTCCTTGCCAGTCTGGAGAGCTACACACAGCAGGAGTGTATGTTTCCCTCTCTACCTGACTAGCTGTGAGACACTGTGAGGCATTAGCAGCAGTTAAAACAGCCACAAACAGGACTGGACAGAGCCAAGCCGCCAGCACATGACATGCAGGTTAGCACAAGCATCGAATAGGCTACATTAGCATGTTGAAGTGAACCAGTGACACCCCACTTTCTCACCAGCAAACCCTTTGGGGAGAGATGATAAAGAATAAAATGACTATAAAAACATCCTACAGCCACATGTTTGGACTGTTGTCAGGCTGCAGAGCATTGATGGTTTACATAGACCGCCTTATTGTAAGGCTGTACTGGATACAGAGGCAAGTAGTGTATTAGAATTGAACTAGCCAGCAGGTATCACTCCACTAGTCAACATTTTTTCTAAGTAATGCACACACCAGCCAGTGTAACTGTTTTTTTTTGTTTTTTGTTTTTTTTTTTACCAATATAGGGATTTGAACTTTTACTGCCTCTCGAATCCGTAAATCTTAAATTGTATCCCACCGTACCAAGAACTCTCTCCCCCATGTCCGAGCGTGAGGTATGGACACTGACAGCGCTGCCCTGTCTTCAAACTCCTGAATCACACTCACATTCAGAGCTATCAAGCTGATGCACAGCAGCGCTGCCAAAGTAGCTGCAGCCTCATACCTCCAGGCAGTGATCCAGCCTTGGCCTTGACTCCTCTCTCCCCTCTGGCTGTCTATGGATGGCATGACCTTCACAGCCTTGTAAGGACCTCACAGTCATTTTCTGTCTTTTTGGAAGCAACCTGAAAATTCATGTAGTCATGGAACACAAACCCATTTTTATATGAGGATTTGAAAGTTACTTCCCCTACCTTCTGCTGTTTTTGCAGCTGCATAAAAACAATAGATTATGTAGGAATCAATTAAATCATCAACATTATCCAAGACTGATTCATATATATATATATGAACAGCTCTGTTGCAGCAGATGGTTATTGTATGCAATTATTGAAAGCATCTGCAGTTAATCCATCAAAAGAAACACTACACAAGCCAACACAACATCAAATAGGTCTCCATAGTCACAGTTTGGACACAGATTAGTTCAAATTATGTTAATGTTACTTCTTGCCTTGGAGCAAAGGGTCTGTTCTGTTTCCACCTTATTGAGAGTGAAAGGCTCACAGTTTCCAAAGCCTTATCTGCATGTAATTGTAGTATTGAGAATGAACATTAAATCAGCAAGGGTCCATGTTTTTTGTTGCATGTGGGAATCAATAATCAATACAGATGGGGGGGTGACTATTTTGCAAATGTATTGATGGAAAAGCTAAGAAAGGTCATGTGCTGTGGGTTTACACGGCCCTTTAAACTGAGCTAGACAACCCAGGTAAACAGATACTCCCAAAAAAATATGAGTGGTTTCCATAACAACACAACCTGGTCCACAATGTACTTATTTGCTGTCCAAACCTGCCTTTGTGTTAAAATCAGCACTCAGCCAGTTCAGTTATCAGTGTTTTTTTTTTTAGATGCTCAGTGGACACCTAGAATCACAAACTCTGCAAAACAAAAACAAAAAAAAAAAGAGGCAGAGAAAAGCGAATCTGATGAAGCATGGTGACAAAGCCTGGGTGACAGATCATCTCTTGCTTCTCTGTCTCACCCGCCCTCCTCTCCTCTCCAGACAGGGTTGGGCCAAACAGCAGGTGGTGCAGAAGAGAAGCCCGGACATGGGATTTACAAACCTCTGGCTCTCTGACTTCTGCACCGGACAAGCATGGAGGAGCAACAAATCCCTCATTTTAAAAAGTAAGTGCTGTTTTCAATTTAATTCTTTATTTGTTTTCTGTCAATATCAAGTAGTGTCTTAAAAACAAGGAAGAGAAGTTTTACAGTAAAATTAAGGTGGACAGACTAAGTCTAGTGTACCTTACGTGTTTATTAATTTACAGCTAATAAGGTGTCTGTACAGTTTCAGTGTGGATGGGGCATTCCCTCGTGGCTTGTGAATCCAGCTGCACATTGAGTTGTATATTATGTCATCAACTAGCTCTTCACCTCGCTCCGTTACACGTCTGGAGTGGCTGATTGTAGTTTCTCAGAGAGCACTTTTACATAATCTTAGGTCACACTGATTTTGATTTAAAAAAAAAAAAAAAAAAAAAAAGTGCAGATACACACACACACACACACACAAAGGAAGAGTTTCAAAAAGTGTTTCAATCTGTTCCAAAAATATTCCTAGAGTATTACAATAGGGTGTAGCTCAGGATTCACGTGTCTAATAGGAGTAAACAAGAATTTTGGGTGAAAATCATTTATCTGAATAAATCTGTAAATAATAATAAATAAATAACATGACTGTTTTACCATAAATTAGTGATAGAATATTAATTAGATCATGAAACTAGTTGAGCTCATGTGCGATTTTGTACCTTGTCTGACAATGAAAAAGCAAAGTCTGTATGCCCCTCACACTTTGGTATTTATCATTTCTTTACTGAAGAGTATTCCTTAAAGCAAAGATTTAAAAACCACAGCAGACTTGTTCCTCTGAAAATCTTCCTCGCCTATACATTGTTTTTTATCCCATTTTCCTCTCATGTGCATGCATGTCGGACATGCGCTGAACCACTGCTGTGAAGATGACGGTTAATAAGAATGCATTAATATTGCAGATCGTTTCCTCTGGTGGAAATAAAACCCTAAGGGCTGTGGATGTTTGCTAAAGGTCATGTTTGCCAAACACAACTCAGTCTTTCTATTACCAGGGAAAGTCTGGGATCTTTTTTCTTTGAGGGGGGGGGGCTCATAATGGTGGACTAAAGAAGAGCGTAGATAGTAAGGCATAGACATAGATTTTATGTCACGTACATTCAAAAAGCTGAGCATGTGCTGACTGGATCCATCAAAAGACAGAGGTTCACGCAGGAGGTTTGTTAAATTTTAATGGCAAATATTTTTTTCATCTTGCCAATTAATAGTCATCAAGTCAGAGCAAGCCGGTTTGAGTGAGGATTTCTAAGGAGGATTTCAATGCATCTGTTTAAGTCTGAAGCTTGAATGTTAATGTGCTCATGTAGCTGTCTCACATCCATTTTGAACCCCTTACAAAAAAAACTCACCACAGTAGATTCATCATTTTCCTATTTGATCTTAAGAGTTTTAAAATATTTGTAATAGGTGAAAAAAAAAGATACTATGCCTCTCTTGTATCCCAATATGAATGTATACAACAAGACTGCTGTTTTTTTCAACACCTTTCTACGCCTAATTCTTTTTTCTTTTCTTTTTTTTCTCTCCTCTCCACAGCTCAGGTGTCACAGCAGTAGGGTCTCTGGACGAGGCTCGCTGAATAAAGATGCACAAGGATTTGGAGAGACAAAGCATCACTCAAACAATCAGATGACTCAAAAGAGGAGAAAGAAAGCCTCCTTTTAATCTCAGGTCAACAGTTTGGTCGGTGTGGACGATGTGAGTCGGCAGATTACGGAGGCCAGAGTCTGTTTTTCAATCATGGAGGTGCTTCTCTTTTGTCTCTGGAATCTATTGGTAGATGAACCTTGATGTCAGCATGGGGTCAAACGCGCCCTAAATGTTTTTTGCTCCACGCACCTGACTTCTGTCAGCATGTCAATACAGCATAGATGATTTACCCTTTAAAGACACATAAGTGGGAACTAACATGGTCTAATGATGTAGCAGCTACAGGTGACTCACATGTGGCTTATGATTCAAGACAGTCCAACCACAGTCAGTATGGAAGTGCAGACAACCTCTCTGGTCTGGATATATGTTAACAGGACAGAACAGCTGAACTCTTCATATGAATACAACACCACGGATTTGATTGAAGACTCAGACAAATACCAGTCTTACATAATTGGTCTCTTCCTGTCCTGCCTGTACACAATCCTCCTCTTTCCTATTGGATTTATCGGTAACATCTTAATCCTGGTGGTGAACCTGAACCACAGAGAAAAGATGACCATCCCTGACCTTTACTTTGTCAACCTGGCCGTAGCTGACCTCATCCTGGTGGCAGATTCGCTCATCGAGGTCTTCAACCTGAACGAGAAGTATTACGACTATGCCGTCCTCTGCACCTTCATGTCCCTTTTCCTGCAGATCAACATGTACAGCAGTATCTTCTTCCTCACGTGGATGAGCTTCGACCGGTACGTTGCCTTGGCTAGCTCCATAAGCAGCAGCCCGCTGAGGACTATGCAGCACGCCAAGCTCAGCTGTGGCCTCATCTGGATGGCCTCCATCCTGGCCACCCTCCTCCCCTTCACCATTGTGCAGACGCAGCACAGGGGTGAGGTGCACTTCTGCTTTGCCAACGTCTTTGAGATCCAGTGGCTGGAGGTTACCATTGGCTTTTTGGTGCCGTTCTCCATCATTGGTCTATGCTACTCTCTGATCGGGCGCATCCTCATGAGGGCCCAGAAGCACCGTGGACTGTGGCCACGGCGGCAGAAAGCCCTGCGCATGATCGTGGTGGTGGTTCTGGTGTTCTTCATCTGCTGGCTCCCGGAGAACGTCTTCATCAGCATCCAGCTGCTGCAGGGCACAGCTGACCCGTCGCAGAGGACTGCTACCACCCTGTGGCACGACTACCCGCTCACAGGCCACATTGTTAACCTGGCAGCTTTCTCCAACAGCTGCCTCAACCCCATTATCTACAGCTTTCTAGGGGAAACCTTCAGGGACAAGCTGCGTCTCTTCATTAAGCAGAAGGCCAGCTGGTCAGTAGTGAACCGCTTCTGCCACCACGGCCTCGATTTACGCCTCCCTGTCAGGAGCGAAGTGTCAGAGGTGTGACTGCTGAGAAGAGGGACAATTATGAAACCAAGTCCACAAAATATGCTAAAAAAAAAATCTTTATATCAAAGTGATATATCACCTAGTGTGAAATATTACCTCATCTTTCTTTCAACTGTTGTTTAGCTTTGCCTCATAGTTGTACCAGTGTCTCAGTTAACCTGCTCACTTTCTGAACAAAAAAAAAACCCCCACAAAAGCACCATGAACGTTCAGTCAAAGGATGAAAATTACTTGATGTGTGTATCTTTTTAAGTAGATAACAATGCACATACAGTACTTAAAGCTATTTCATGTTTATCTGCCTGTTGGACTGTTTTCTTTTAAGTGGATTTAGTGTGTTATTCCTTCAAAAAGTTATCTGGGTGGCGAGGCGGGCAACAGTGGATGAAATGCTAGTGAGAGGCAAAATGTCAGCATCTGCCCCCAGGAGTACAGCCTGAGTGGACGGATGAGTCTCAGAAGAGAACAGTGTAACATTTTGAATTGTGTGGCCTCTGATATAAATCTTTCAGAACATTTTCTGGGTATGTGGTAGAGATAGAAAAAGCTGCGTCACGGCTAAAGCAACACACGTAGAGGAAATACTGCGTCACATAAAATCTAATCAGGTGTCGTTTCAGTCAAAAACCCAACATGTTCTTGCACAGGAAGTAAACGTGGCATTTATCAAGAAATTCAAACATACCCACCATCCACATCAACAACATCGTGACAGCACATGAGAAAATGAATGTCATGTTTCAAAGCAGTAACGCATCTTAACGCAATGTAACAGCGATTCAGGACATCACAGTCAAGGAACAAAAGGAACAATCAGATAATACAGATTCAGTTTCTTTCTACTTTCTGTTAGACTTTTTTTCCTGTGTTGAAATCAAAAGGTATTATGTATCCATAACATTCATTGGACAATGCAAACAGATGTTCACAGATGTGTTTTTATTTTTAGAAATAAAGAAAATGCCACATTTTCTAGGAATATAAAGTGAAACTTGTTGATGAATTCTAATGACATCAAATTTGTTTTTTAGATTCCAAAAACAGCATTTTAGCAGGTTTTTTTTTGTGTGTGTTAAATTATTACATGAAATAAATAAAGGGTACTGCAGCTACACCCTTTATTTCTTTCTTGTTGTACTGAAAGTTTCCATCACAGCCAAGCTATGAGGTGGGTAAAGAAAATGTATGATCCAATTTTTCTTTTTTTTTGGGGGGGGGGGGGGATTAGTCTCCAGAATCTGGCGCCTGAGCTCGTCTGTATTGTGGTAATGCAGGGAATCAGTGAGCGCTCATGTTCAAAGAAGGCTGAGTTATTGCATCACTTGTCAGTCCCTGTTAGCGTGATGGGAGAGCAAAGAGGCAGGTGTTGTTCTGCCAGGAGGGGATGAGACTGGGTAAACACATCATTCAATGTTGATAATGTGAAGCCGCTTCAATATTTTGTTCTTACCTGTCTTAACATATATTACACTGATAAACAACAGTAGCAAACCCTGGACATAAGTGATGGACCTGGGACTAACAGTTCCCCAAGTCAAACATATGCTTTATCTGCACATTTGTGTCTTAGGGTTAGAGTTAGTTATAGGTAATTCTTTAGATAGAAAAAAACGAAATCAAAGATATGCCATCAGACATAATGTATGAGCCATCACTGTACATGTGGAGTCTCATCTTGTATCATCACAATCTGATTTTGATGCTTTTGGCTGAACAAAGATGCTCATTAATGCATTGATCACAGGTTAATGTAATGCAGATTACCAGGCTACACAGGTGCAGTATAAACATTTTTGAATTGTGTCCCATCAGAGGCCTCATTGTAGAGGTTCCCTGAAACCTGTCATAAAGTTTTACAGCCTCTTTGTTTGTTGATCCGTCAGGACTAAACATTATAAATTCTATTTCTGTAATATCGCACAGTTTGTTTTCTTAAATTCAGTAGTGCTCACACTCATCTGTCTACACTGAAAAAAGGGTTAAAAGAATTTTCACTTCATATTTCTGCAAAACAAAACACTGCACAGTGTCATGCACAACAGGTTCTGTGCATTGGGAATGTTAAAGAGATGGATGTGTTGTTCAGTATGGACTAAAAGAATACAGGAGGAAAGACTGCCACACCTACGATGAAGACTGTTCATCAGTGTGTAAAAATCTGTGTATTGCCAGCCTGTGGTGTGCCTGTGCTGTGTTTGTGCATGAGGCAGCCAGAGATAATGGCGTGACTGGGAAAAACAGGAGTCCAAACCACAAACTGTTATTCCAGCTGTAACAGTCCCAGCAGCCTGGGAAAGCAGCGCTGAGGATTGTGTGAGTGATTGTTTATTAGAGGTCTGCAAAAATGCAAAACTTGTTGTGGTCCATGTTACTAAAGATTTTTTTTTTATGTTTCCATTACACAATTTTATGTCTCCATAGGTTAAGTATGCAAAATAGCATCCAGTGTGTTCTGCTTTTCAGAGTTTTGTTAACCAGGTTTAAACACAGATTATATGTTTGCATTTGATGTAATGGCTAGAATCATCTGTTAACAGAACCTGTTTCTAACAAAAGCCACAGAGCGCACAAAGACAAGAAGACAGGCGAGCAATGCAATGAGAGCTGTCAAGTTCATTGATATAAACAAGCAACACCTAGACACCAGAGCCAAGACCCCCCAAGTTCAAACCCCAGGGAGAGGCAAAGGATCATCTTTACATCACACATACACACATCCACACGCATACAAACACACATGAGATGAGATGCTGTGAGAAGAGGTTGACAGTGGACTGTGTGTACAGCTGAGACTACTGAGTAAGGTTAAAGGTTTGTGGTGACTGACGTCACAAAAGGGAAAGAGGGTGTGACTTTTCCCCTTGCTTACATCTACTATATTTCCTTTGGATGATGCTGCATTAAATGGGTTTGTGAGCAAAAATCAATCTGGTAAAAGAACACAAAACAATATTTCTAGGTTGTTCATGTATAACATTCGGCTGGTTATTCTTAAAGAAGGAGATGAACATGTTCATGTTGCCAATTTATGATGATAATGTAATCTAGACACAAATCCTGGAGCTTTTTACTGACTAAATTGAATGAAAAAGTTGTTGGCAAAATAATTGAAAACAATAATTTTGCAGGAATAAGGGCATATTGTCCTCATTATCCCTGTTGTGATACTCAAACACACAAATAGATACCCGTTTAACTGGTGCAAAACATGATAAAGAAAAAAAATGCTGCAACACATATGTCACAATGATCAGTTTCTGCTCAGAGAGCTGAGGATGTCTAAGAATAAATGAAATTTATGAGAATCTGCACTTTAGCTGCTCAAAATATGCAGAAAACAAATAAAGAAACAGGATTCAACTCTAAAAGTTTTCTTATGTAAGAAAGGTATTCTGGATTTTGGGGGTGGGGCAAAGTCAAAGTAATTACAACTGGATAGACCAGGGCTTATGCATAATTACAAGGCAGTGCACTCGATGGACCTCAGCAGCTGAATAATGGATTAAAAGTATAATTGCATTTGTAAATTAAAATCCCTCACAGGAAAAAAAGTGCTGAATGGAACAGATTAGCTTCCCACATTCAGAAGGAAGGAAAGGGGAGTTTGATTGTCTTATCAAGTTGTTTTCTACATATATATTGTATATTAAAAACAAAAACTTGATTATTAATACCAAAACTTAAATCTGCAAAGTATTGGAGACAGGTACTGGAGAAGTCAACTTTGGAATAAGAAAAGAAAAAGAAAAGTTATTTCCAAAAACTAAGAAAGATTTTTTATGTCAAAACTAAGCAATGTTTTTTCATATCTGACAATGGTGCCTTTTCATTGGTTTTTGATTCATCTTAAATGTGAGTATTTTACATCAAAAGTGAAATAAAATAAATCGATTTTTAGTTTTCCACCAGAATTATAGAGTAGATAATGCAACACTGAGATGGCAGAGCATAGTTTAAGAAGTTTAAGTTTTTAACAGTTTTTTCTTAAATTTATAGAGAGAGGAATAAAACAACAAAAAACTAAGTTTAAGACTAAGGTATTTCGTCACTGTTACTGGGGAAATATTTCTTAATTCATTTCAAATGTATATTTACTCAAAATACAAAAAGTACATTGATCCAGGAGGTGTAGTAGTCATGGATGTGGTTATAACAGAGGCAAGAGCCGTAATGAGAAATGTCTCCTCTCTGCAGCGCCCCCTGCACCACTGTTTGGTGTCCTGCAGTGCGCTGGCGTGTGGGCGCGGACGTGCACGCACTCGAGCAACAGATCCGAGCGCATGCGCAAATCATTGTTTTGACTGAAAATGCCGTCGGTTTCGAAAACGGCGGCCAATGCGTCTCCTCAAACCGAGAAACCTACCCACTATACGTGAGTAAAGCTGGTGCAAAGAAACGGCAAAATCGCTCGTTGTCGAAAATGTTACTTGCACGTGCACCCGTGCGCGTTTGCATTTCTCGCATTCCTCAACTCTTGTGTGTGCGTTAAAAACATGGTGCTTTTCCTGGCTTTGTGACTACCTAACGTTACATAGCAAACAGCGACTGCACGCTAACGACACCAGTCCTAATGTGGGAAACACGAACGTCTTAAATCACTTAACCGACGAGCCAGTCGTAACCGGAATCGTTTACAACTGTTTTACAGAGTTGAGCAATTGTTTTGAATTATCCGTTGAATATTATACCGTGAACTTGGTCTGCTAAATGATTAGCCAGGAACTCGCTAACCAGTCTGCTTGTAAATAGCTCGGCCTTATTTTGAGTTCCCTCTTGCTACGCACATTTATAGACGTACGCTCGGGGACGTTCAACCAGTATTACGTCGAAATACTTGCGTAATTCGCTCTGTGGATAGCGAGCTAACGATAGTGACCCAAAATATAGAGTAGCCCACACCAGTAGCAGCATATCACAACACTGAACTTTTTATTTGGCTTCGATTTATCGCTTAAATAATAGTCATATTAAAACCCAGTTCCTGACGAAACTTGTGCTTTTCCT